TTTTTTTTAAAAAATAATTAACTGATTACATGTCCTAACAATATCATGGCTCTACTCAATTAAGACACAACAACTGTTCAAACAAGGACAAAACCAACCTCTCTTTCTTTTCTTTTTCTTTCGGCTTCATTCTTAGTAGCAATGGCCTGTTTACGTTCTTCTTCCTTCCTTTTCTTTTCATCTTCCTTTTTGAAAAGAAAAAAAAATAGATCTATTATTTATTTATTTCATTTCATTTTTGCTTTCTCTTTTTTACTGACTTTATAGGAGACAATTATTGTCTCATTGCTCACCTAGAATAGCTATGCTAATTGTGAGTAAATTATTTAAAAATTGAATAAACTTGTACTGTTGTTGTTGTTGTTGTTGTTGTTGTTGATTTGTTATCACATTATTAAATTTTTTAGTGCTATTTTGAGTGTTCAGTTCATGGGGCAGGAAATAATTGGCCCTGATGCTTACAAACCAATTTGTATATAGTCTCCCTCGCAGCCATTTTTAGTATCGTCACGCAACGCTCCTCCCCACAAACGGCTGCTCACATTCAAACAACATTCCTTTCCACCACTTAAACCAATCACCATGTAGTTTACATATTTCGGGAACTAGGCGCGCCAACTTAATCTAACCAATCATATTGTTTCTTTTATCTTGGAGTCCACTGCTTCCAAAATGGCGACCATTGAAGAAGCTTTTGACGTTGTTAGCAAGACATTTCGAATTTCTGCCTTAAATGCGCCGCAAAAAAGCGGAATTACGAAAATAGTGGAAGAAGGAAGGGATGTTTTTATTAATCTTCCTACTGGTTTTGGGAAATCTCTTCTCTATCAAGCATTACCACTCGTGTTTGATGTCACTTCAAAACAGCCTGGTCATATTGTGGTAGTTGTTTCACCATTAATAAGCCTTATGGACGACCAAGTGTCTTATTTGAGGGAACTAGGGCTTAAAGCATGCAACATAACTTCACTTGAGGACGGTGAACGCACTCGTGTTGTAAATGGTGAATATTCCTTAGTTTACGGATCACCCGAAGCATGGCTGAAAAACGAACACTGGAGATTAATGCTGACGAACTCTGTTTATTCCAAAAAACTATGTGCGATAGCAGTCGATGAGGCGCATGTTGTAAGGCAGTGGTAAGTCTTTATATAAATAAGCGTCTATATCATTGCAACAAGTTATCCTTTGCAATAGATTTATGCCGTGTATTTTCTGTTTAATGTGTAGGGGAACATCTCAAGATAATAAAATGGCTGCATTCCGCGAGTGTTACTCAAAGCTATACGAACTAAGGTCTCTCGCACCTAATGTGCCTATGGTAGCCTTGACTGCAACTGCAACCAAACTGACTAGAGACACAATTTTAAGTCTTCTGAACATGGAAAATGTAGTGGAAATTAAAGAAAGTCCCAATAAATTAAATGTTGCCTATGTTGTACAATATATGGATAAGGACACGGAACTTGAATTTTATTTCAGCTGGCTCACTGATGAACTGAAAAACAGTCAGGAGAAAACAGACAGAACAATCATTTACTGCCAGACTATAAGGCAATGTGGTTTAGTTTACGCTACAATCAAGGGTTTGCTAGGAACGAGCATGTTTATTGGAGATGACTCAAAAAATGTGCTTGTTGAAATGTTGCATTCGTGCACTCCTGAAGAAAATAAGAAGACTATTTTGGAGTCGTTTCAATCTGAAAATGGTATTATCCGTCTGCTAATAGCAACAATAGCCTTCGGAATGGGCGTTGACTGCCGAGGTGTTCATAGAGTCATACATTTTGGACCCTCCAAAAATGTAGAGTCCTATGTTCAAGAAACTGGTAGGGCAGGAAGGGACGGCCACCAAAGCATTGCTTATGTTTTATATCATGGAGTTATGTTGAACCATATTGACGCCCATATGAAGACTTTCGTTAAGACTAAAGAGTGCAGGAGGAAAAACATTCTAAA